AACAAGGTCTCTTCAACTAGATCGCTCTCTTGTTCCTCCTCAAACTCAAGAAAAAAGGCTTCTTTACCTTTGCACTTGTGGCCTGGCGTGTATCGCTCGTTGCACGTGAAGCACAAGCCTTTTGCTCTTCTCCATTGAATCTCCTCGTCCGTAAGCCGCCGCATGTTGCTCGTGGTTCAAACTCCTTCGGCTATCGGCTTGATCTCGGCCTGTGGGGGCGCCTCCTCGATCGTGGCGTGCGCGCGCCTTGGTTCTGTGCGTGCGTCACTCAGCCTCGCCTTGCGCACCGCCGTGAGTTGGTCCTCGTGCAACCTGGCCAACTCCATAGCCGCTCGCGTCGACCTCGGCCTATCCAACCTTACCTTAGCCGCTAGTTCGGCTTTCAATCCTCCAACGAACGCTCTCACTAGCGCACTCTCGTGCCAATCCCGTACCCTACTAGCAATGCGCTCAAACTCTTTTTTATAATCCCGCAAACTACCAACTTGTTTAATTCGAGACAAAGCTTCATCATAAACAAAGAAAACACTAGAACCAAACCTGGTGATGAGCTCTCTTTCGAAATCTCTCCAACGCATGTGCTCGCCATTGTTTTTGTGCAAGATCCATTGCCACCATACGTTTACCTCTCCATCAAAATGATAAGCAGCAATTTGAACTCGTTCATACCTTGGCACATCGTTGATCTCAAAAAATTGCACAGCTCGACTCAACCATGCATCTGGATCTACTCCCGTGAACGTGGGCATAGTAAGATTCGACCATGTGTAAGCCCGTTCCTCGCGGTGTTCGTCGTGATGGTGTCGCACTTCTCGACGGTGGCGTCGATCGTTAGGGTGGTGGTCCGTGTGGTGGCGCCGCTCGTCTCGTGCCGCGCGCGATGCGTGTGATGCGCGCGTTCCATGCGATCGTCGGTCCTCCTCATGCTCGGTCCCCATGCTGCTCGACGCCGTGGTCGACCGTGCCTCGTGGCTCCTTCACGGTCGTGGGCCTATGAGTGTGAGCTGCCCGGCCAAATCGTGGACCATCAACTCGATCTTAGCCAAATTCTCGTTCGTGATATGTTGGCCATCACCAATGGTCTTCACGCTTTCCTCCAAGGCTTGAATCCTCTTACTGTTTGACAACATCTCTCTTTTTTTTTAAGACTCTAGGAATAAAATCAAACCAACTACTAGGATGACACTTTTTTTTCTTTTTTGAATACCTCTTAAATCATGAAAAAAGAAAAAAAAAGAAGGGAAAATTCGAAAAAAATAAAGAAAAATTCGGCCCCCTCAGCAAAAGGAAAAACCGAAAAAGAAAAGATAAAATAGAAAAAATCACGATTGGACACTCTCAACGAAAGCACCAATGATGAGGGATCGTGATTTTGCCTACCTGTTGTGAATAGTTGCGAACTCAAGGCCTTCGACTAAACACGATAGGTGTGACTTCAAGACGCACTAAGGGCCTTCTCTTGCACACGGTTGTATGATAAACACGCACTAATGGTCTTGCTTAAACACACGATTGAACACAACGTTCCTTTTCTATTCACTCATTCAACATTCGACATATAAAAACAATGGGGATGCTCCCTATTTATAGATCCTAATTACCTCTAATCCTACTCCAACTAGATCACTAATTAAAGCTATTAAATATTAAATCCTAATACTACAAGAAATATTAATGCAACACGGAAAGTAATTATCTCCTAACATCTAATAAACTCCTAATAATACTAGAACTCCAATACTTGACTTGCACTCCAATCCAATGTCCTGAACTCGAAGCCGCCGCCTTTAACCCATTCGGCCGCCCTACGCTTTGCCTAATCCTCCACGCGCGAGGCGTCGCTGATACGGAAGTGGTCATCAACCCCGGCGAGTCCGACGAGGAAGGTGACGATGGTCTCAATTTATGGCTAGAGAATATGTTGGAAGAGCCATCTAGCCCGATTTATCGACCATCATGCAAGAGGGACTGGCCGAAAGGGTGTGGTCCGCAATCCAAGCTTAAGCCTAAGAAGCGCAAGACCAAACGAGCACGAAGAAAATGCAAGGTGAAGAATAAAGAATCATGTTGTTGGTGCAAGCCTTGTACAAGGAAGAGACGGGCTTGGCGATCAGAGGCTAGAAGGAGAGGTAAGAAAAGGATGGAAGATGGATGGATATGGTGTGCGGGAGATTGTTCTAGGATGGATGGGTGGGACCCATGGCCATCGGGCAAGCAACTAAAGATGAGCGACCATAAGGACGGCAACCGGCGAATGAGGGAATGGCGCGCATCGGCCCATGATGCGCGCGGTTGGACGGAACGGGATACACATGGAAGTGCGGTGAACGAGTGGGCCTCGTACGCTGACGGGACTGGCGCAAGTGGCTGGGACGCGCGGGCAGTGGCCAGCTGGGGCGAGGCGCACGATGAGCGCGCAAGTACCAGCAACGCGGGCGGAAACCGTGTCCTTGCGGGCTTAGGGATGTTGGGTGAAGGTGTGCACGCGAGGGAAGCATGCGAGACGGGCGCATGCCTATGCACGGTAGGCATAGGCGAGGACGGTAGCGCACACGCGTGCGAGGAAGGCAACGGCAACGAGAAGCGCACGATAGCGCGCGACTGTAGCACAGGCGCGGATGTCGTAGGCGGGGCAGGATTAGGAGACGCATGCGGGGAGGCGCACGCGCAAGGGGCAGGCAGTGCGGACGGGGCGCGCTCAACAGCGCGCGCGTGCAACACGGACGAGGCGCGCGATGCCTCGCGCGCCAAGGAATAGGAAGCCGAAGGCGGTGCGCGTGCGAGAGGAGAGAGGCGGTCGAAGATTTGGAAGGCAAGAGAAATTGGATTT